GAACCCAGGCCGGTGATGCACACAGGGAAACTGATCCAGGGGATTGCTTACAGAGATGAAAGCTGGAAGAGCAAGCTGGAGAGGGGGAGGTAACCCCGGGGAGAGCATCAGCAGGAAGCTGCCATCCTCCCTCAGGCTGGAGAGCCAAAGTGGGAAAGTGAGGTTTCTGAGAGTTTAGGAATTTGGGAGCTGGGAGCTGGGAGGACAGTCTGTCCACTGGGAATCCAAACCACAGAGGAGACGCGTTCATGCTAGAGAAGCTGCCCAAAGCAGGAAGAGGGGAGAGTACTCTGGCTTCTCCCTTCCTCCTGGCCAAACTTTCTCGGAAGCGGCTGGCAAAGCAGCTTGGGAAATGCAGTTCACATGAGCCATCCCTCTCTCCACTCTGACTTCTCCACTGAGCAGAGCAGAGCAGGTAGGAGAAGGAAATAATCCAGCATTCCTACAGGGATGGACACTGCTTCTCAATTAATGCCTCCCCTTCAGACCTCTTCTCTGAGCTCCTGATTCTTTCTTTCAGGAAAGAGAGGTGTGGCCACATGAATTGCTTTGGCCAATAAAATGTGGGTGGGAGTGACATGTCACTACTAGAAGCAACCCTTAAGAGCCCCTGTGGACTTCACTATTTTCCCTCCAGGAGGGACAGTGTTCCAGATAGTGGCTGCTCCATCGGCCTGAGACCTGGGCTAAGGGTGACGATTACTCGGAGATCTGCCAACCCACCACATGTTGCCTGAGCACGAAGTAAGCCTTAGCCATTGCAAGCTGCTGAGACTTAAAGATGGTTTCTTCAGCCCATCTGGGCTGGCAGAGTCCTCAGTCCCTGTCATGAGCCTGCACATGGCCATCATGGATATCACCACTGACTGTAATTCCCACTGGTTTTATTTATTGATTTTCTTTCCACTATGGACCCCTCTTAAACCCCATGAGAGCAGGGCTCCATCTACCTAGTGCACCGCCCCCTCTACTCCCCCTACCCTCCCAGCTTCTAGAAAAGGGCCCCGGGCAGAGCCAGTAAGCAACTATCTATTGATTAAGCCTCTGCTGCCTTGCACATACAAGCATCTGTTGCTTGCGTGCTATTTTGCCAAGGCACCCGGAATGAGTTAGTCTGCACTCAGGACATCTGAACACCAGAAGCCCAGAGCTTCATGCTGCCACTTGGGTCACACCCTTCCAGCTGACTCCCAGGACACCACATTGCTCCCAAAGCGACCACGATTCCGTGGTCAGAAAAGGCCCTGCTCAGTACCACATGCAGCAGAGAAACAAAAAAAGGAATGGAATCTTTGAACCAGAAACATAAGCGTGAAGTCACCCAGAATTAGGTGGGAGGGACAAAATTTATATTCATACTGTTTTTACCACTAAATGGCAAACAGTTGCTCTAACCTTTTTAAAGTTTTCTATGCCAGCAAAATCGAATTCCCCAGAAATGGCCAAATCTCAAATTCCACTATTGTAACAAAATAGTAGCACCAAAAAAAAAAACAAAACTCCAGTGCTTACTCAATTCATACTCTGTTTATCACCTAGTGTGATCCCTTTTAATGAGAAACCTCCTAGGGCAGGGGAGGGGAACATCTGGTCCATGGGCCACATAAGGTCCAAGAAATCATTTGATCTGGCCCTGCCAACACACTAAGAGTGAGGTCATTAAATGTTGGACCAAATATAGCAGGCTAATTTTTAAGTTGATAATGTTGTATGGCCTGAGAATGATGTTATTTTAAATTTCCAAATGGCCCTTGGCAGAAAAAAGGCTCCCCACCCCTGTCCTACGTCAACCAGAGTAAGGGAATTACGTTCTATTTATTTAGCTTAGTCTAAACCCTATACAAAGAGACTGCATCCTCAATAAGCAGGTGTATTTTGTGTAACTTGCAAAAAAGAAGTGTATTACAGCCCTAACTGGTTTGGCTCAGTGAATAGAGCGTTGGCCTGCAAACTGAAGGGTCCCAGGTTCGATGCCGGTCAAGGACAGGTACGTAGGTTGCAGGCACATTCCCAGTAGGGAGTATGCAGGAGGCAGCTGATGGATGTTTCTAACTCTCTATCCCTCTCCCTTGCTCTCTGTAATAAAATAAAAAAAAAATCAATAAAATATATATTTTTTTAAAGTGTATCACAAAGACACCAATTCACTCAACACTGGATCTGAAACTATCAACTTTTGACATCAATACGTGGCAATGTCTGCAAACCTGTCCGACCCACATTCAATTTAACCAGATCCCCATTCACCTGCGGTTGAACCTTAACAAAGTGAGCTCACCCCATGTCCCCCCACAGGCTGAAAACGGGACAGTTTCAATTCTGCAGGTCTCCCGAACACAAGGCCACATTCACACAGAGGAAACCATTTACATGTGATGACAGAAACAGGACATTTTCATAGTGGCTTTCATACTTAAGAGCGGACACAACTTTTCCTGAACTCGGTCGCCGTCACTAACCCTGCCTATAGCACTATCTATTGCATCGTAAAAGTAAGAAAAGAAAGCTCATCAGAAAAACACACGGTGGACGAGGACTGGATGTCCGTGTATACGATGGTTTTTACTTCCAGCATGACAGACTTTATTTTGGCACTTGAACAAATATTTTGCTTTACAGCAGTGACAAAGTAATTGCTAGAAATGTTCTCTTCATGGCATCGATTTTCCCAGCAGTTGCTCTTCTACAAACTGACTTACCCTAGGCCCCGGGCAGGGAGAGGTAAGCCCACTAGATCCTTCGCCTGCAACCGAGGGGCACTGTGCAGTGTTGGAAGCTGCGATCACTGCCTTTTCATCCCTCCAGAGTGGACAGACGCTGCATGTAGCGGACAGGAATTTGAGAATTTGAGCCACTAAGACGTTAAGTCAACACTCTTCCAAGTGTTGTTTTAAATTAAAAAAAAAAAAAATAGTAAGTCCTGTGGCAATTCCAGGAGATTGTTCTCTAAATGAAGTATTCCTATTTATTAAAAGTAAATTCTATGTTGAAAAGGTTACTGCTTTTTGCTGTCTTCTTCTTATTCTGGCAGCCCACAATTTAAGAGAAAATTAAATGGGAAAGGAGAAAAAGTACCCAGGCAGGGGACTGGCACTTCCATCTCCCCCTCGGACATCACTGCTTGCTGCAATTTCAACCCTAAGCAGCTAAGGCCCCTGTTCATACACAGAGCCTCCCCGCCCTTTTCTCCTCCCCGATGGTGTCAATGGCGGGAGTTCCCTTTATTAGTGCTTCACTTAGGCTGCAGGAGAGAGCTGGACCACAATTTTAAAGGTAAATCAACCTATAAAACTAAATCTCAGCACTAGCCAGTTTGGCTCAGTGAGTAGAGCATCGGCCCATGGCCTGAAGGGCCCTGGATTCCATTCAGGTCAAGGGCACATCATTTGGTCAAAGGTGCAATCCCCGGCCCTGGCCTGGGCATGTGTAGGAGCCAACCAATCGATGTGTCTCTCTCACATCAATGTTTCTTTCCTCCTCCCTTCCAATCTAATTTAAAAAAAAAAAATCAATGGGAAAATATCCTCAAGAGAGGATTAACAAGAAACAAACTCTCAGATACCAACGTCAGAAAACTCCCTTCTGCTCTTTGGAATTTATTGCCCTAAAAACTGCAAAAGCAGGCGCCTGTCTCCATATTGCCGTCAGCTACTTGATTAAGGTTGCAAACTTCCGTTCCCATCCTGGCAGTCTTCCAATAGCCACGCCCCCATGCACACAGGATGACACAGTCAGCTTCCCTCTGGCCAATGAGGGGCTCTCGCGTTGTGACTCGGAGGCTGTGGACCGCTCAGAAGTCAAACCCACATCATCCCTGAGCGCGGGCTGGGCCGTCCTTCGCCAAGGGGAGACGCCCACTGGATCGAAATGTGCAAAATTTATAACAGTGACATTTTCCATGATGAGGCCACATGATTTATTCAGTAGTTTTCATGTTCCCAAATTACAATTTAGGTCTATTCATAAGTCTACAAAAAAAGTTACCATTAGAATTGTCTGTGCTTATAAAATACCAACTTTTTTTTTTTAACTGTTATATATACTCATTAACACCAGTCTGTGACAAGTTACATAGAATCATAGGCACTTCAAAGGCTTAAAAAGACGCTTACAACTTAAAAGCATTTTTAAGAACAAAAACAGACGTTTCCTCAAACTCCTTCTCGTACCTTCAAATGGCAAGAAATTAACAAATACAGTGGCCGAAGGAATCTGCAGCAACTTCTCAAAATACTGTTAGCATCTTTGGGTTTGCGGAGGCTTGTCCATCACTCACATCAAATCCTCCCAAAGGAAGATCTCATCAGAGATGACGCAACCGTTTTTCTGGTAATAATCCAATTTTACACATTACTTTGCTCTTGCAAATCTGCCTGAAGCTACAGGTCATGAAAAACAAAGTGTAAAATGGATAGTCTGACACTTAAAAAAAAAAAAAAGTTAAAGTTTACATGTTTGAAAATCACATATACACTCCATTACCATTACCTAAAATTATCCAAAGACAAATTGCACCGTAACAGCTACAAAAGGCGTAGAGTCTTGTTTTGTTTTTTCACGGTTCACCAGGGGAGAGCAGAGGAGGAGAAGGGAACAACAGATAAATTAACAAAGTAAGACCCACGTGGCTAGGTCCGTGGGAGACATGCTGACGCAAATTAAACAGCGTAAAAACAATCATTGGCGCATCCAAGTTTAGACCGATCCCATGAACATGGAGAATTTTCATAACAATATTTTGCCACTGCTACTCACAGAACACTGCAGATGGAACGTTTTAATTATTTTAGGTTGTTCTAAAGAAATACATGTAAAGTTTTGTTGTTTTTATTTTAAATACAATGGGGTTTTATCATTAAAGTGCCAGAATGGCTCTTTAATGAAAAACAAAACAAAACAAAAACAAAACAAAAAAACCCAAAGATCTTCATTATTCTATGCAAAAGCTTTATTTGTTTAAAGTTCAGTGATCTCATAAATAGAGACACTCCGTGGGAGTCTCACGCATAAAACTCCTTAGTGGGTGCCTTCTGGTACGCGGCGCTGGATGGTTTGCGTTCTCCGAGGTCATAGCTCCCCTCATCCTTCTTTCTCATGCGGTACACCAGCAGCAGGATGAGGAAGATGGCAAAGAGGAAGCCGATCACTCCGCCAGCGATGACGGCTGAAATACAGAGAGGGAGGCTGCTCTCAGAAGAGGTTTGGGGGCTGCAGAAGTGGCTTTGTCACCCCCACCTACTTCACAATACTTTCATGAAAGGCTTAATTGGAACCCCCCCCCCCCAAAAAAAAAAATGTTAAAACCTGGATTCAGCCGAAACCGGTTTGGCTCAGTGGATAGAGCGTCGGCCTGCGGACTGAAAGGTCCCAGGTTCGATTCCGATCAAGGGCATGTACCTGGGTTGCGGGCACATCCCCAATAGGAGGTGTGCAAGACGCAGCTGATCGATGATTCTCTCTCATCGATGTTTCTAACTTTCTATCCCTCTCCCTTCCTCTCTGTAAAAAATCAATAAAAAACAAAAAACAAACAAACAAAAAAACACCTGGATTCAAGGAAGCAACCAGGCATGTGTGCAAATCTGACATTCCTCTGGAAGGTACAATACTGTCTTTGATTTGTATGAATACTATCACCCAAAAGCCTCATTAAGAATCATCTAGCTGTAAAGCTCAACTAATTCCATCCTTTAAGATTCTTTTGTCTTTTCAGTTCTCACCTTTCACAGTTTCATCTAACTGGTTTTTCCATGAAAACAAAACATGATATGATTTACTTAAGTTTTATGGGGGGGGGGGGGGAGCTTGCAATTTTTTTTTTTTCTAGACTTGAATTTGGGGCTATTCTTTCAAGGATATCGTGTTCTTAAATCTTGCCCATCTTCCCCTTTAAACTCAAATGTTCATACTTTCATCAGAAACATCACAATGAGAGCAACATCCGTGATGCCTTGGGTGTTCCTTGTGTCCATTGCCTTCTCCGCCGAGAACTTTTCCTTCTCTTTCATTCACGTTGAGAATGCCTTGGATCAGGACGGACGGATGGATCTTCCCATCCTGCCCTCCCCCACGCCCAGTTGTTCTGGAACAATCCACACCTTCACTTTCCTCTTCTGCCCCCACCCGCGTGGGCAGGAAACAAGGACGTTTGCCTAGCTCTTGCCTCTTGTTCTGGAATGAGACACGCTCCCCTCCCCACCCCCTCTCCCAGGCTGTGCTCCTTAGAAAGGCGACATTCTGCAGACTTTGCCTTCACCCCTGAACCTCACTTAGACAAACAGAGACCCTCCCCTCTGACCCCTGCCCAGGCAACTTACCTGCCAGGACTTCAGTCCTTTTAAAGAGATTGTCTGGGTGCTTCTCAGTGAACACATTTGTCTCCTCTTCATCTGGGTCCCTTTTCCTTTCTGAGTCAGGGTGGTGAACTTCTTTCTCCTCAACAACGTCTTCAGGTGACTGGTATGGGGAAAGGGGAAGGTCATACAGATTTGTTAATGTGTTAAAAAGGAAAGTGAGTATATGTCAAAGTCGCTTTTTTATTTTTCCCCAATGAGTTCAGGAAATAATTGGGATAATCACTTTGTGTGATGTTTTTACCAAACGGGGGAGTTCTATCATAAACCCATGTAGTTTATAGGGTTTTTTTTTTTTTGTTTTCAAATTCTTTATTGTTAAATGTATTACATGAGTCTCCTTCCCCCACCCCCCCCCATTCTATCCCAGCCTGCTCCCTCTCCCCAGCACAAGCCCTCACCCGCTACAGTCTGTGTCCACTGGTTATGCTCATACGCATCATACAAGTCCTTTAGCTGATCTCTTACCACCCTCTCACCCTCCCAGGTCTTCCCTCTGTGATTTTGATGGTCTGTTCAGTGCTTCTCTGTCTTTGGATCTATTTTTGTATTTATCAGTTTATATTGTTCATTATATTCCACAAATGAGTGAGGTCACGTGATACTTATTTTCTCCAACTTGCTTATTTCGCTTAGCATAATGTTCTCCAGGTTCATCCACGCTGTTGCAAATGGTAAGAGTTCTTTTTTTTACAGCAGCATGGTATTCCATTGTGTATATGTGCCACAGTTTTTAATTCACTCATCTGCTGATGGGCACTTAAGCCGTTTTCAAGTCTTAGCTATTGTAAATTACACTGCTATGAACATAGGGGTGCATACGTTATTTCTGACTGGTATTTCTGATTTCTTGGGGTACATTCCTAAAAGTGGAATCAAATGGGAGTTCCCTTTTTGGTTTTTTGAGTAAATGCCGTACTGTTTTCCACCAGTGTGCACCCCCACCAGGAGTGCAGGAGGGTTCCTTTTTTCCCCGCATCCTCGCCAGCACTTGTCATTTGTTAATGGTACCTATTCTGACAGGTGTAGATGGTACCTCATTTTCCTTTTAATTTGCATCTCTTGGATGATAAGTGACTTTGAACATTTTTTCATATGCTCCTTAGCCTTCTGTATGTCCACTTTCAAAAAGTGTTTTTGTCCATTTTTTATTGAATTGTTTATCTAGTTCATGGTTGTTTTTTTTTTATAACAGAAAACCATGTGTATTGGCAAGATGGAGAGGTCACAACAATCCTTAATGCTGGATGTTGGGCGCCATTTAATGCCAGAGGTCTTGATCCAGCATCTAGAAGGATTCAGCAATCTGGAGAAGGGGCTGTGCATAAATTAAATTAAATAAGAGTCCAGAGACGAAACATAATTTTGAAAGGCATTTGGTGGGAGGAGGGGGGAGAGCAGAGGAGCGTGGCTGAAAAAACCAAGTTCTCCTTGTCTCAGGACCCCTTGTTTTTTTATTAACACAATTTGTCCTAAGGCAAGGTAGAGATATATACATCAAAGGCCAGGGTTAGTCTATAGAGTCCATTGTCAGATTGGGGAGGAGGCAATAACATGTATATTAAGATGCTCTGAGCTGTCTGGCAGCAAGCAATCATTCTTTTCAGATTTGGGGAAATGCCTTTAACCATCCCAGATGATTCAGCCCTTGCTGACACGCTGGAATTGGCTTCCAGCAAATCCTGATGACATGGTTAGGTTTTTTTAGTTGACCTGCAAAAGATCTCTTCTTTCTCATACTCCTCTGACCTCAGGTCTTAGCTGATGACTCTTCAGCCCAGGGCATTGTAGCAGTGCTTACTCCATCCGTTTGCCACACCTAGTAGTGTGACAGCTTCCTATCAGGCACTGTCTCCGGGTGCTCTCCAAGGGTTCTTCCTGATCCCTCTCTGTGGGGAGTACCCCCCACCCCAGACTCGCTCTATAACCCTCACCTCTACTCATGCATTCTTGCAGCTCAGGGAGCCCTGAACTAGAGCTTCAGGGGACGTGGGTGCTGCAAGTAGCTCCTGTGTGACTCTAGGTCACACCCCTTTTTTGGACCTCAGGTTTGGTTGGTTGGTTTGTTTTACCAATGAAGACCACTCTCGGGCTCTTGTTTATTCCACAATTCCAAAGCCTCAAACTAGTGAGTCCAAATGGTCAGCCGTGACAAGTGGTTCAAATAAAAACGTGGTAAAGCCAAATGCACGTTCAAGAGTCACAATGGATAACTGTGCCACACGCGCTCCGGGGTGTTCTGCCATCCCACCACCTGTATTTCCCACCTCCCCCTTCTTTCTTTCATTCATTCAACTGAAGACATTTATGGAGCAGCTACCATGCACGGGCAAGCACATGCTAGGTGTGTGTGCCTCACTGCTCACAGAGCTTCTCCTTCCTCTCCTATCACCTGGCCTGTGGTGCCGATCAGCGACTGACCCTTCTTAGTCCTACAGAGAGCACTCCAGTCTGGAGAAGGTTGACCTGGCTACTCCACATCTGCAGACACCCTTCCAGCTGTGCCATTCACCACCCTCCACAGTCACTGGGAGGACAGAGGATGGAGGATGGGGGAGGGTATGGCAAGGGGGATGGACAAACGCCATCAATAAGGGTAGGAAAATGGAAGGGCAGGAAGCCCACCTGTGTTATTACCTGTGTAATAAGCGCTTCTTATTCCAGAAAAGGCCTGTCACTGCCTGCATGACACAGCCTTGCACATCCTACCTGCTACAGAAGCTTGGCACCAACACATGGGTGAGCTCCAAGAAGAAGTAATGTTAAGCAGATCCCATAAGCAGCACACTGCCTGGGCTGTCTACGAGGTCTACCACTGCAGTTGTCACACATGTTTATTTGGCAAATTGGCTTGGTCTCCATTGCTCTGACCAAATTCAGTTAAGACTTACAGAATGTTTACCAGGACTCAAGGGCCATGCAACCGGCCCTTGCATTTAATCTTTCTCAATGATCCATGATAAATGGGCTCAGAGCAGCTCAGAAATTTGACCAGATCCAGGATTTAAAACCCAGGCTTTCTTCAGACTCTAATATGCATTTTCCAACATAAAAAGTTTATCTAGTAGTGGGTGGCCAGCTCATATTGCCAGTTCATGGCAATGTAACATTAGTAAAGCCAAAATCACAAGTCTTAGAGTTTTGTTTAGCTAGTACCTTTGCTCTGCTCTTATTTCTTTATGTCAACTATCAAAAGGAATATATAGAGATGTTCTAAAATCATTATGATCACTGAAAGAGGTCAAAGTTTATATACCATTGATGATGAGCTGGTGGAGACTGAGAAAAAACTTATTGCAATTAGTATCTGGAGTCCCTTTATTCCATAACCTAGTTCAGCATATGTAAATTTCCCATGGTTTTAACTCAGAACAAAGTCTTTATGGAGTGAAAATAAATTGTCTTAGCTTGAGACAAATTAATAAAAATGATTTTGTTTCTTAATTTGCCTGTGAATTCCTTTAAAAAGACCACCCTTTGAAAAATATTTATGTAGCCCAGCCAGTGTGGCTTAGCGGTTGAGCATTGACCTGTGAACCAGGAGGTCACAGCTTGATTCCCATCAGGGCACGTGCCTGGGTTGCAGGACTATCCCTAGTAGGAGGCGTGCAGGAGGTGGCCAATCAGTGATTCTCTGCCATCACTGAAGTTTCTGTCTCATTGATGTTTCTAACTCTCTATCCTCTCTCTTCCTCTCTGTAAAAAATCAATAAAATTTATTTTTTAAAAACTAAAATAGATAAAAACAAAGTCTACTTAACAGACAAAAAGAATAGTCACAGTGAGTAAAAGGTAGTAAGTAAGAGCCATTTACAACAATGTGTAACAAGAGATCATTTGTCCTCCCCTACTGTAAAACGGGGCCCCTTAAAGGAACTGGTCTGCATCATTAAACGACAGCGCAGCGCAGAACAAAACCCACCTTCGTCTGAGCAGGTATCTTGTTCTGCATCTTCAGCGTCGTGGTTTCCACTCTGGGAGCAGCACTGGAGGACGGGATTTTTGCAAGCGGTCGAGTCGTTGTCAGCTCGGGACTCTCTACATCCTCATCCGTTCCTAGGGAAAGAAGCAAGGAGGAGCCGAGGCCATGAATCACAATGCAGGTCTCCGCAGTATCAGATGATACTGTCAAAGGCTGGCGCCAACAGAGCCATGTTCTTTCAACACAGCTGCTCATCATTGTCTAAACCAGTTTGGCTCAGTGGATAGAGCATCAGCCTGCGAACTGAAAGGTCCCGGGTTCGATTCCGGTCAAGGGCATGTACCTTAGTTGCAGGCACATCCCCAGTAGGGGGTGTGCAAGAGGCAGCTGATCGATGATTCTCTCTCATTGATGTTTCTAACTCTCTATCCCTCTCTCTTCTTCTCTGTAAAAAAATCAATAAAATATATATATATTTTTTAAAGTGATTAAAACAAAAACAACAACAAAAACGGCGTCTCATCAAGAACTCGGCAGCGTGCACCAGGTGAAGACATGATTTCAAAGCGGACCTGTGGGGAGCCTGGCACGTTTTAAAAAGAACACCATCCTGAACATTCTCCAGTAGCCCTTCTTTTACTGGGAACGGCTCATTGTCCCAGCTCAGTGAGATGTCTTCCCTTCCACACGCTCTACTTTCCATTTTAAAACAATAACCGAAAAAGGAGAACTCTCCATGGTTGACCTGGGTCCCCTTGGCTTGGCCAGACTTTTCCACTGGTGCTGTGGCTATTCAAGGCTCATCTCCTCACCTCCCTCTAGTCATAGAAGTTTCCTGTCATCACACACACGATGGTCCTGTTTGCCTAAGGTCACCAAGGTCCTCCGTGTTTCCACATCCAGTGACATTTTCCACAGTGGCTCTCATTTAATAGCATCTCCTAGCACCACTGCGCACTGGTCGTCCATCATCTCCTTCTGGAAACTTTATCTCTGGGCTTCTGTGATTTTGACTTTCCCTTGCCTCTCGGCTACTTGTCTCCTTTGCAGATTCATTCACTTCTATGTGGTCACAAAATATCAACACTTCCTTAGGATTCGGCCCTAGGCTGCTTTTTAATGTATTTTATATATTGATTTCAGGGAGGAAGGGAAAGGGAGAGAGAGACAGAAACATCAATGATGAGTTAGAATCATTAATTGGCTGCCTCCTTGCATGCCCCACACTGGGGACGAAGCTTGCAACCCAGGCGTGTGCCCCGACTGGGAATCAAACTGTGACTTCCTAGTTCATAGGCCAACGCTCAACCACTGAGCCTTGCAGGCTGGTGGCCCTAGTTTTCTTACTCTGCACTTTTTATTCTCATCCCTGCTCATGGCTTCAATGACCAACCAAATATAAAAGAAAACTAAGTTTCTATAGTAGCTTTTATCACTTCTCTGAAATTCAGACGCACAGATCCTCACGCCTACCTGACATTTTACTGGATGACTCAACTGTACGACACACCTCTAAGATATCCAAAAGAGAAATCATCGCCTCCCTCCCTCTCGCCCCACAAACCTGGTGACACCTTGCAATGAATGAACCTGCACTCCGATAAACCACAACTCTGACTTCCTCTTCCTCACATCCCATCAGGCCAATCACCCAGTTCTATGATTTTACACCTTCTTATGTCTCTCCATCCTAACACCTTTCCACAGCCCCAGGGCAACCCCACTCATCCAAGCCACGGTAACTTTTCCAGGAACCATCATCCCTGCCTTCCTCCTAAGAGCCCCCTTTCAGTCTACTATACACACACTGGTTGTGACCCCATCCTCCTCCCGTTTTAAACTATTATCCTGGGTCCAGCCAAGGTGGCTCAGTGGCTGAATTGACCATTGACCTATGAACCAGGAGGTCACAGTTCGATTCCCGGTCAGGGCACATGCCCCTGTTGTGGGCTCAATCCCCAGTGTCGGATGTGTAAGAGGCAGCCGATTAATGCTTCTCTCTCATTACTGATGTTTTTACCTCTCTCTCCCTCTCCTTTCCTCCCTGGGGGGGGGGGGGGGAATTACACACACACACACACACACACACACACACACACATACATATATATATATATATATATATATATATATACACACACACATATATACATACACACACACACATATATACATACACACACACACACACATATATATATATATATATAATTATATATATATATATAATTATATATATATATATATATATATATATATAAATATAATTATTCCAATGGCTCTTCACTGCTCTTGAGATGAGCATTAAATGCCTTTAGCCCAGCCTTGCCTACCTTTCCAGTTTCCATGAGCAACATCTTCCTTATTGCCTATCCCATGTGGTCCCTTCATGTTCTGCTAGAAAACAAGTCTCCTTGATTCCTAACTCACCTCTGGATCTCAGCACAAAAGCCATCTCTCGGGAAAGACCTCAGAGTCTTCTGTTTAGTTAAATTTTTAGTTCCATCTCTCTTACCCTAATTGCACCTATCACAGTTTGTAATTCCACATTTATCTGTGTAACTGTTCACTGAAGTTTCCCTCCAGGACTAGTCCGAATGGTGAACTTGTTTGCAGCAATCACATGCCCCAGGCTGGGGCCAGGGCAGAGCAATGCCAGCCCAAATCTAAGCCTCTCTTTGAGCCACCTGGTTAGTGGGCTCAGGACTCCAGAGGACTCACTCCAAACCCCTCTCACCCAGATGGGGAGACGGGAGTTAGCCAAGGAACAGCAATGCGTAGATATGAAACTTAAAGACAATCAGCCAAAATCAGCAAAATGACGTGGACAATGGCCACAGATCTCTAACAACTCTTGGATTCTAAGATGTGTGAAATGCAGATAAATAAGTTGATATTTGGCTCTGCGGACTAATGAGTGTACCGACCACTGCCCTAGGAGTAACTAACTAGAACTCTCCTAGGTGTCATCCATAATCTCCAACCCAGCGTTGGCAGTTTTATAAAACTAGTGTTTGAAGGATTTGTTTGGAAGGAGTTGTGTTTTCATGACATCACTCTCAAAACCTGAATAATAAGATGAAAAGCTAATATTGACAGAACACGGACCACGTGCCAAATCCACGTTTATTATTTCCTGGGACATTCTGAAGATGACAGTTAGTCAGAAAACACTGTGGAGGTGCTAAAGAGGAAAAAGAGGTGCCATGAGCGAAATATATTCATAGAGGTTGTGGGCTACGGAGAAGCCCTCTTTTCACACTCAATCTGTGTGTGCAATATATATCACTCTCCCGAGAATAACGGGGGCTATTTTTACATTGGGATTGCACTGTAGGCTCATTGTTAGTAGGTCAGCCACAACCTCACTTGTCTTTGTCAGACTTGCCATTGGCTAACTTAAAACGCTCACTCTTGTGGAGCGAGATCTCTATCGCAGATACAGTGGGTCTGGATTTATTCCGGGTCGCTCTGAAGCCAGGCCAATCTGATTATCAGACAACTGTATTCAGCCTAACTTTTACCAGCTGTCGAATTTACAATGGAGATTTAAAGCAAGAAAGGTCCTGAACAAGACTTTCCTAGCGGTGTTGCTGACCACAGATCCCTAACGTGGTCATTAATGAAGTATATGCACAAGCTCTTCCTCTTTTCGGCTTCTTGGGGGCCATTCCTGGCCCAGGGGAAACGTGTACTGTGTACCGAAGATGGTGGAAATGGTCAGAGTCGCTCATTCCTCCTTGTTCCCACGTCCTCGGCAATGCCCCTCTGTAGCTCTTTCGTTAAGAGGTGGCGTATGGGCCAGCCTTGCTTTGACCGGTAAAAGGCGGTAGGGATGCTGTGCCAGTTCTAAGCCGAGGCTTTAAGAGGCTTTGCACCGTTCTGCTCTCTGGGGATCCCTGCCTCCACCCTGTGAACAAACGGCTGGCCTACTAAAGGATGAGAGACCGTGTGCCATGTGGGCTCCAGAGCCAAGTCTGCCCAGCTGCTCCAGACATATGACCAAGTCCAGCCAAGGTCAGCAAAGCTGCCTTCCCCAACTGCAGCTGACCACGGATGCGTGCAGGAGCCTATTTAGCCCAGGAAACTGCCAACCCACAGAACGAGGAGCTAAATGCGTGACTGTTGTTTTCATCCACAGCGTTTGGGGATGGTGTGTTATACAGCATCAAGGAGGCCACAGATAACTGATATACCAAGGAGCTGAGGCTATCCCTGCTACATTCCCCCTTCTACTTTTGAGCAATGCCCTAGGACCGTGGTCGGCAAACAGTGGCTCGTGAGCCACATATGGCTCTTTGGCCTCCTGAATGTGGCTCTTCCACAAAATACCATGGCCTAGGTGAGTCTATTTTGAAGAAGTGGTGTTAGAAGGAGTTTCAGTTTAAAAAATGTGGCTCTCAGAAGAAATGTCAATGGTTGTTACTGTTGATATTTGGCTCTGTGGACTAATGAGTGTGCCGACCACTGGACTAGGAGTAACTAACTAGAACTCTCCTAGGTGTCACCCATAATCTCCAACCCAGCGTTGGCAGTTTTATAAAACTAGTGTTTGAAGGATTTGTTTGGAAGGAGTTGTGTTTTCATGACATCACTCTCAAAATCCGAATAATAAAATGAAAAGCTAATATTGACAGAACACGGACCACGTGCCAAGCGGCAAACACTTAGGAGCTCCGAGATGTGCCAACCCCTTTATAATCCTCACAGCATGCCTGTGTGGCAGGGGCCTCCCATTCTCTGCATGAGGAAACTGAGGTCCGGCCAAGGTACATACACTCCCGAGACCTCACAGCTGAGGTGGCGGGGAGCTGGAACTCACACCCAGGCACTCGGACACAAAGAGCGTGCTCTGAACCCCTGTGCACCTCGCCTGACTCCCTAAACCAGGACCCTGTGTGTGCCTGTGTGTGTGTGTGCGCGCGTGTGTGTGTGTGTGTGTGTGTGTGTGTGTGCATGTGTGTGCATAAGTGCAAGCATGGAGAACGAAGGCGAGGGTGGGCCTTACCAGAGCCTGATGCAGAAGCATAGTCATCGTCATCAATGGGATACACTCCGGACGCGTCCTCAATGGAGCTGTTGTCCAGGTACATGTCCTTGTCAGACGTCAGCTCTGCCCTCTGAGGAAGGAAAGAGAAGGCAGGGGTTCAGGATGGTGAGGAAAGGGGGGGGGGATGTGCTTACTGCCGTCCTCTTCAGGTTTACAATGCAGTGACCGCCCCTCCCTCTCCTCTGTGTGCCCCCGAACCCCCACTTCTGGCCCTGCCCTTCCTCAGGACTCCCTGTGAATGTACATGAAGGCCTGGCCACCGACGAAAGCCCCTAGGGAGGTCCAGGTGGCCCAATCCACAGAACGAAGACGGCACAGAGACCGCAGCACCAAATCAGCATGGGATTTGGTTGCATTCCGCTAACCAGAGCTTGGGCGGCCCAGAGCTGTTTTTAAGCCATCTCCGGCATTCCCTCGGTCACTGTCACTGCGCAGCACCCTGACCGGCAAAGCTACAGAACACAGAAATCACTCCAGACTTTCTTGGGGATGCCTATAAAGGGATGAAGGTGCTTAGCTTAGGCTAAATCATCACCCAGGGATCCATCAAGGCCCACCGACGTCGGCCGGCCTGGCCATGCTCAGAGCTCTGGCCAAAATTATCACGACAGCCAAGTGCTCTCCGGGGCCTGGGCAGGCCAGAGCTTTCCGCCACAGCCCAGGTCCAGGCAGAGGCCAGGCACGGCACCGTCCGAAGGGCAGGGCCCGTGACGCTCAATGGACAAGGGCGAAAGACCGCGGCACGCTGGCTCAGCAGATACCCCCACACGCGCACACTCTTTTCATTTATGTTTAATTTCCTTATTGATGAAGGTATCACGTATGTGTCCTCACCCCCCCATTCCCATCTCGCACATTCTTCTTGTGTTTCTGCCTCTTGGTAACAGCGGATCGCATGCCGGCTACGTCGGATCCCTCCCTACGTATACCAGTTCCACTGCTTTCAGCTCTTCAACGGGAGGAACAGGCAGGCATGGAAGGCAGAGGAGACACACAATTTTTTTTTTTCCCAAATGGTTTTAGTAAACTGATCTTTTGCCACCAGTATCTCCTCAGAGCCCACAGACAAAGCAAGCAGACTCGGCCTCGAAACAATATTTGTGTTTGGAAGCAGGGTCATGCTCTTTAGTGTCCTGTTTTTTAAAAGTCAAATAGAACGTCTGTGCCCAACAGGATTTAAAAAAAAAAAAAGTTTCCTTCAGTCCACTGGCTTTTATCAGATTTCCTCTGGAAATAAAATAAAACTTTCTGTTCTATGGCTGGAACCTTCTCAGGCGGACAGCCGGGCCCAGCCCTCCACAACACTGCCACTTTATTCTCTCAGGTTTCAGCTGCTGGCTGGGGATGCCCGAGTATTTTAAACCTGAGCCCACACCCCTTCTTCCCCCTTTTGCTCTCCCCCCCTCTCCCCAGCTTCAGTGCCAACCGACAGGAAAGCCTGGGAACCGGTGTATCTGAGCCACCACACACCGGCGCCTTCTGAGCCGAAACCTGAGGGGTTTGTTTCCAGCGGGCTGGCTCCGGGCATTGAATGACCAGCCTGGGCCAGGAGCGTGCTGGAATGTTTCTGCTCCGATGGTCAGAGCTTAACGTTGTGATCTGAGGCCATCCTGCCTCAGATCAGGTCCCAAGGCTATCACCATGCCAGGCCGTGATTCCCAGAGCTCACGCACCGTGTCAGGAGCCCTGCCTTCCACGGCTCTACCATCTACTTAAATGACCCCTATGGCGCTCACACGGCTCCCTGGATGGCAGCGACTGTCTTCGGTTAGTCATGAATCTACCCCAACGCCCCGCAGTCCCCGTGCCTGGCAGATAGCAGGTGCTCAGTTAATGCTGCATGGGTCGTGTGTGCTCACACCGAAAAGCAATTCTCAGCCCTGTCTGCATTACCCTTTGTCCAGTGCCCTCTCCATCTTTCTCAAAGCCTGTCTACTCCCAAACAGCCTCTGCCGTTTCCGGTCCTTCTATGTCCCCTTGTTATCAATGGCTATTTTGGATTTTGTAGCATATGGACAATTTAAGACACACATAGTCACCAGCTATTTAACTGTCACGTGTGGATTTCTCTCACCCCTCAGCTGAGTCCAACTCACGGAAGCCAGGTCTCTGTGGCCTGTGGATGCTCCCTGCCCCTCCCCAAAGTGCATGCGTTCTTAATAAATATTTGTCGACCGAGGATCTAAGATGAAACAGCCTTTGTCTCGGGTTTCAGAGTTAACACGCTCCGGGCTCCTGATCGTTAAAAATCTCTCGCGTCTGAGCCTGGGCGATCATCTGCCCCGAACGTGTTGCACTGCATCCAATTAGGTAACTAAAGAAGAGCCTTTAAAAAAAAAAAAAAAAAAAGTGAAGTGTAAGACTCCGTCTTCCTATCAGCAGCTCACTGGATGCCTTGCCCTCTCCTCTTGGCTCTGTCAGGGGAGTGTGACGTGGCGTGGGAAACGCAAAGATATTTGATCCCTGCGTGTAAATTAAATGTCTCTTCATTAGATGACCCAGCTGTCCGAACTGACACATCCTTCAGACTAAAAGGCAGACGGGCAGAAGCATCTCCCAGAGACTTCTGGACACTTCACAGTGCTCCCAGCCCCACTGCACACAGAGCCTGACGAGCAGCCCACTGCCCCATGCCCACGGGCTCCTGCCAGGGGCTGTCAGGGCAGGGAGTGTCCGGAGAAGCTGACTTGCCCTCGGCTACTTGGGGTCCACAGGGCCAGGATGGGTGATGCGTTTTCATGGAGCCTCCTCCGTCCCGTGTGGCAAACCATCTCACATCACACTAACAGCCATCGCCTGCTCCGGTGCCGGACGCGCCGAGGAATCACCCCATTCCTTCCAAGGAGTCCAGTGTCACCGTAAGCAGGCCCTTCTCGCTCTTCCTAGCAGATACCCCTCCAAGAGCATCTCCAGGGTCTTTCCTTGAAACAGAAAAAAACCTTTCCGAATGGGACAGGTTCCTTTGTGCGAAGCAGCCACACTGTGCCGTTGGCATGCCTGGGGGGGGACATGGATTGGGCACCGACATTCCCTTAGGCCAAGACATGTGCATCTCTGAGAGAGCCACCAAGAGGGGTGACTCCAGACAACTGCTTTTACACCCAGCCACCCCCACCCCTACACACCCACACACACACTCACACACACTCCGAACACCCACTGGCTGGATGAGAGAGCACCGCCTGATGCAAGGACCCGGGAGGGAGGGCACAGAGCCGTGGTCCCCAAGGGCGGAGCAGTCGCCCTACCGGAGGATTCCGCAGCAGCGAGGTGGTTTAATCTGAGACTGACCATTTCTTTTTTCTTTTTTTTAAAGTAACCAACTAATGAGTTTGCCGACCACGGCACTAAATGAATGCCCTCTGATGCCCTAAACTAGTGGAACCGGTAAGATCATTAAAGCTCCATGCAGTAGGTGTTATGTCACTTCACGGTTTAAACGTAGGTTAGTAACTAAGTCAGACAGTCGCAAACACCACCCGCCCACCCACCCCTGGACCCAACCTTCAGGAAGTTATGTTGACACAACAGTAAAATATCCATGCTGCCTGCCATTACATTCCGTTCCACATCACAGAAAGCAGATGATGCCTCTTAGTCTTAGGATAAAGGCACATCCAGTCCTGATGCTGATTCCATCCTAAAGTTTATGGTGATTACCAAGTGCCACACCGACTGTAACTCTGGCTTATCTTTCCGGAGCTGACCTAGTAAACTATTTTATTACGAGCAGACACACATATTAAATGAAGCAATTTCTCCCACACAGTGGCTCAGAGATCATGTGCTTGCCCTTTAGATGAACTTGCCAATTCTGGCCTCTAGAATATAACCCAGGGGTCGGCAAACTCATTCGTCCACAGAGCCAAATACCAACAGGACAGCGATTGACATTTCTTTGGAGAGCCACATTTTTTAAACTTAAACTTATTCTAACGCCACTTCTTCAACATAGACTCGCCCAGGCTGTTGTATTTTGTGGAAGAGCCACACTCAAGGGGCCAAAGAGCGCAGTTTGCTGACCACGGGTATAACCCAAAGGAGCCTATATAATATTAGAGTTTGACAAAGAAATTACAGGTATCAATTTTTTTTTTCTGAAGTTAAAAGAAACACAACACAATAGTGGCAAATTAGCTAAAAAAAAAAAAAAAAAAAAACATCCAATCAAGTTGTTGGCCAAAAGGGAGGCCAAAATTTTGGTGACCTTACTCCGGGCTCTTTCTGTTGCCCTGTGACGACCCAGAACGTGAAGACATTAGAGCCATCCGGCCTGGCGTGCAAAGGATTAGCTCTAGCTAACCGTTACATGTCCCTCAGGTGCCAGGCATTCTGAGCTGTGTGTTCACAAGCACGGGCACACTTTGCCGCCTCTACAATCTCTACCGCAGACAGAGGAACGGAGGCTCACTGAGGCTTTCCCGAAGACCTCCAGCTCAGGCAGGGAGCGGGGATTCCAGCCCAGGGGAACTCCGACACGTGAACTCAATGAAAGTGTTGGCCACGCTGGGCCTGTCCCCACCCCACTTTGCTTGTGATGTGCATATAATCATAAAAAGGCCCTGAGAAGAAGCATAATCATCACGCTGCACTCTGCTTGATTCAGCACTTTCAGACACTGGCGATGGAAAGTCACCCTCCCTCCCCCTTCCAGAGCCAGAGTATCCATTTAATGTCTTTCATTATTTATTTATTATTTATTTATTTGTTTATTTTTGGTTAATCCTCACCCAAGGGTACTTTCCCATTGATTTTTTAGAGAGAGTGGAAAGGAAGGGGGAGGGGGGAGACAGCGCGCAAGAGACATCGATATGAGAGAGACACACTGATTGGTTGCCTCCCACATGCGCCCACGTGCCCACCCCACAAGGGCCAGGGACCAAGCCTGCCACAGAGGTTTGTGCCCTCGATCAGAATCAAACCCGGGACCTTTTGGCCAATGTTCTCTACCCATTGAGCCAAACTGGCAAGGGCTCCGTAGAGTCTTTTAGAACTGGCATTCCTGGCATCACAGATGGAAAAATTCTGGGTTAGGAGTTAAGAGCTCTAGCTAAACGGTTTCTTCTCTGC